GGGAAAATACTATAGAAGTGATTTTAGCTTATGATAAAATATTGATTGAAGTGATTTTAGCCTATGATAAAATATTAATTGGAGTAATTCATGGGATTGATTTTAAGAATCCTCCATCAATGTATTTACCATATTTATCACTTGTATTCTTTCACCTATAAATAAAGGTGCTTATTCTATTTAAGAGTGGTGATGTGGGCTCTTCTTGCCATGGATGTTGGCCCTAGTGGTTGAACCACGCTATATCTTTCTTCATTTTATATTTCTCTCTTCAATTTTGACATGGTATTAGAGTATGCTTATCATACTCTACTCTATACTTTACTCGTCTCAAATCTTAATGGATCAACTCGTCTCAATTTTCGGATCAACTTGTTTAGATCTACGAATTAACTCATCTTGGATCTTCGAATCAACTCGCCTTCTCTCTTCTTTCTTTATCTTAATGGAAAGTTAGGCATTCATGCTCCAACTTTAGGGGGAGAATTGAAGATTTAATGGAGGAACCAGTGGAGGAAAATCCTCCATTGATTCCTATTATTGAAGATTTACTGTTACAAGAGGAATCAGTGGAGGGTTTCCTCCACTGATTCCTCTTTCTATCTCTTTACATTCTCATCATTTCTTTTCCTATATAGAGGAGCCTCCACCATTGTATTGTGTATGAAAAGGGATAATATTATAGGAGTGATTTTAACTTATGATAAAATATTGATTGGAGTGATTTTAGGAAACTTCCATCAATGTATTTTTCATAGGGCTGCAACTCGGGCGGGTTGGGTGAGCTAGAGACTTAATTCGGGCTCAGCCCATGTACAAAATCTTTTGCCCGAGCCCGCCTAAAGCCTAATCCCAGCCACCCAAGCCCAACCCATAATTAACTTCTCCTACCCAAGCCCGCCCATGAGCCCACGCCTCTATATTCAGAATGTAAAAAATAAAAAATTTGTGCAGCTACAAGGACTCGAACAATATTCCTCCAATAAAAATTTCGAACACATTACCAACTAAGCTATTATATACTTGTGAAATAACATAGTTTTAAAATAAATATACCCTTTCCGGGCTCGGGCTGGGCTTCGGGCTTTATATAATATCAACCCAAGCCCAGCCCGAATTTAATTCGGGCTCAGAATATCTAGCCCAAGCCCATACCTAGAACAGAAAAATATTGTCCAAGCCCTGAAAATTTCAGGTTGGGCTCGGGTAAATTCGGGCTGGCCCAGCCCAAGTTGCAGCCCTAATTTTTCATATTTATCACTTGTATTCTTTCACCTATAAATAAAGGTGTTCGTTGTAAACAATCTTAAGAGAGTATATAATAAGAATGATGTAGCCCTTTGGGCTCTTTGTGTCGTGGATGTAGGCTTCAGTGGTTGAACCACGTTATATCCTTGTGTTCATTTTCTATTTCTTTCTTTAATTTTGACATGATATCATAGCGAGTTTATCATACCCTACTCATCTCGAATCTCAAGATCAAGTCGTTTCGATCTGCGGATCAACTCTTCTTGGATCTCTAGATCAACTCATCTCAGTTCTTCAGACCAACTCGTCTCGGATTCTTGACAACTTCATATTTAGTTTCAAGTTGGACACTCGAGTTAAAATCTCCGTGTATCAACTTTGGGGGGTGTGGGGTGTTGGAGAATATTATTATAGGATTGATTAAAGCCCTTAAATCACTCCTTGATGGAGTATTGATATGAATGAACCTTGTGAATGATTTTAGGATTCTTTCTATCAATATATTTCTTATATTTATAGCATGTTTGTATTCTTTCATGGTGGGGTGGGGTGGGGTGGGGTGGGGTGGGGTGGGGTGGGGAATAATATAGGAATGATTAAAGCCCTTAAATCAAACCATGTGAATGATTTTAGGAATCTTTCTATCAATATATTTCTTATATTTATAGCATTTTTGTATTCTTTCACCTATAAATGGAGGTGATCATTGTATACGAAATTAAGAGAGTATAATAAAGATATGTAGCACTTTTTGCTTTGTGTGTCATGGATGTAAGCCCTAGTGGCTGAACCACGTATTCTTTTTTCAATTTTGACATGGTATCAAAGCAGGCAAGAACTTGTGTTCAAACCTCACCATCACCCTGATTTAAAAATTGAAACACGTGTTGGACAAAAAAGAAGGTCACACGTGAGGGGCGTGTTGAAGGATTTAAATATTTAAGTTACACCCTCTCTAATAGCATAAGTTTTTGAAGTAGATGGTTGTTAACAATTATCTTTTCACACAAGCAGCAATGGATAAAAGTATTTTCACACGTCATACAAAGCTAAAAAATATTGTCATGTTAGTGTTGACCGTCTTTGACTGTTAGTGAAATTGACGACAATCAGTTTGTTACACACATGTAAGTAGAAGGGAGGTAAGTGTAATTATCCAAAACACGGGGGAGGTACGTGTAATAAACTATAATTAGAGGGGAGTTAACTGTAATTTATCCCCTTTTTTCCCTTTCATTTTGTAGGTGAATGATTTGAGATGATGTTCAAGGCTTCAAGCTTGTAATAAGAGTTGCAACTTGCACCTTGCAAATTATCTTTGAAAATCCTGCTTTTTGTAACTTGTTTCTCAATAGAAAAACTCAACCAATTGTCTTCCCGTAGGGTTTTATTGTTTAGACTTAATTCAAAGATCTCCTTTTGAATCAAGCTTGCTCAGCACTTATCAAACCATTATTGTAGCTTTTTTCCTATTCTTACTATAACATAAAAAAATAAAATAAAAAAGAAAAAAAGAAGAGAAATACTACCTAAAAATGAGGGGAAACAATCTAAATAGAAGAGATGGGGACTCATAAGAGAAGGGGAAAAAAGTAGAGTGGCTAGAAACGAGTGAAAGAGCATGTCAACTTGTTTCTCAATAGAAAATTTCAACCAGTTGTTTTCCCGTATATTGTTAATTTTTAGACTTAACTCAAAGATCTCTCTTGAATTTAGTTTGATCAGCACTTATCAAGGTGGAAATCATTGTTTGAATTGTAGTCTCAGGTGAACTTAGAAATTTTCAGTTGGAAGGGTCAAATTGTATTATATAATTAAAATTATAGAACTTAGCAAAGCTCAACCATTATTGTAGCTTTTTCCTATTCTTAGTATAACATAAAAAAAATTGAAGAGAAAAATACTACCTAAAAATGAGGGAAAACATTCTAAATAGAAGAGATAGCAACTCATAAGAGAAGGGGGGAAAAGTAGAGCGGCAACGAACGAACAAAAGAGCATGCCAATTGCCACTGTATTTGAACTTATTGATTGCTACAGCAACGGCTACTGTAATAATGGATTCCTTTCTCCACTGGATTTGAACTTCTTAAAGACCAAAAAGGCCCAAAAGTTCTGTATGGATTTTGGAGGTGCCACTTGTAAATTTTTTATAAACCCACCATATATATACCTATATATAAGGTTTATTTATTTTATTTTTTGGTGTGGGTTGGTGGAACCGTGAATCCATCTGTTATTGTAGTGGGACATAATGATAAACAAACTACCAGCTATTTGAGTTACTATACTGGGTCCTTTGCCTAATACAATGTAAACGTTCGGGCTGTTTAAGTGAGAGAACGCTGGTTTGGCTACAAGAACAGTCTGTTCATGCATCCTTGCCTTTATCCCATCAATAATGCAAATAATGCAACAGATTACACTTGCATGGAGTCCGTCCCTTTGTACAATTGCACTCAATCTGCTCCTCTTAGCATTTCCTTAACATGGATCGGAGTGTCTAATGGCCTTTTCTATATGCAGGGGCGGAGGCATTATGCTGCCCCCCTTCATTTTTTTCTTTGTTACATATATATATTTGGAAATTTTATGAAATTGCTCCCTGATTTGCAAAATTATTAATTTGCCCCCCACCCTTTTACTTTCCCAAAAATATTAAACTCCTCCCCTCTCATTTTTGATCGTTTTCTTCAATCATTTTTATCATCTATGTATGACTTAAATTTACAATTTGTGGCCTAAATTTTGGTTTATTTCATTTTTATGATTGTAAAAAGATATTGTGGTCGCCTTTGGCATCTTGTGTATTCTTTTGGGAGCGCTCCCCTCTTGAGCTTCTTTTAGGCAAAAATAAAATTCTCAAACAAAAAAAAAAAAAAAAAAAAGATATAGGCTTTTGATATTTCAGTTATGTTTGTCCTTCCTGTGCTTTAATTTCCTTCATTTTCCAAGGTTTACCTTTGGATTGATTTAAATTTGTGGCCGAGAGTTCTGTGATTTAGAATTGTTCACATAATTATATTCTTTGGTTTAGTAATTGCTATACGGATGGTCTTTGTTTTTAGTAATTTTGTGTCTTGGTCATAATCTTATAGTGTGAGCATCAAATGATAGCATATCTTGATTTGATTGTGGGGTTTTTCCAATTGAAAATGTATCCTATTGAATCCAATTGTAAGATTCAATTCATATAATGTAAAATTTTAATAATTATGTCTTGGGCTGATTTAAATTGAAATAGATTGTTGATTTATTCGAGCAATATATAAGTAGAATGTTGGTTGCCTGTAAAAGTTTCTAGTAAAAATGATTATGGTAGTAACCTTATACAGAGGAAATGGGTGAAAATACTGCTCCATAAATTTCACCCTCATATGACTAATAATAGTAAACGGTGATTTATTTGATGATTGAATTCCACCTTATTAAGGTAATTTGATTTTTTTTTTTTTTTTTTCTTCTTATCTTATTGTCGTTCAAGGCTGCTGCCCCTCAAATTATTTTCTCTCCGTCATGTTATGTATATAATAATATTTAGCTGCGGCACAAGTCTTTTGGTTATAAAGGATCAGTTTGTATGAAAATGTCACATGTGATTTCTAGGCAGCCCTCTCACCTTGGTACATCCAGGACTGTTGATATAATCAATCACACTCACTAAACTTCTTCCTTGTTACTATTGGACCTATTGGTTTTAGCAGTTGTGAATGAATCTCTCATCCAGAATCATTTTTTTCTATGTTTTTCAGAAGATGGATGAATGTGGTGATCTTGCAGCGTTTGATCCCTCTCTTGATCTATCCTTGATGAATTTTTCTTTTAAGGTAATCTTCCTCGTCTCCTACATATGAAAAACAATGAAGAATAAGATGCACCGAACAACTGTTTATGCAACCCCATGGTCCTAGTGTATTTCTATAGGATTCTGGCTCAGGCGGTCACTTGAACCACTCTTATGAAGGTCATTTGCATGGCCAGTTAGTTGCTTGCATGTTATATTTGTACTATATGACTTGCTGCCATGTATTTTATCTTAATTAAAAGGTCACGGGCTTAATGCCGATACATGCATGCACACACCTCCTGTAGTGTTTTTTTCTTTGAATTTAAAAACATCTTATAAGCTGTTGAACCACGTTCAACCGGATTCACTGTCTAGCAACACAACCTGTTAAATGGTTGATTGTTGCATTGTTAAACGCCCAATTTCAAATTCCCAGACATGTATACTTGTCACGGAATACTGTCAGGGCACTTAATTGAGTTATCTTTGCAGAATTTGTCACAACTGGCGTCCATCAATCGCGATGTGCTTTTACAGAGTTGGAAGGGATCATCAAGCTCATCTCCGAGCAAAAGTCCAAATCGATAGGTTAAAAAAAGAAAAAGGTAAGAGAATATTTTCAATGTTAGAGCAAAGGGCCAAAATATAGAGAGAGTAGCCCACCCATCAGTGTCTCCCATGTTTAGATATTAGCCGCATCAGTGTTAGCCTCATTGATTCATTCGACTTTCTGGAGCTCACTGTCATATTTACAAATATGGAAGGAAGAATGTACAATTTTCTTATTTTCTTTCTTCTGAATTGATTGATATATTTCTCGAAAAGAACGAAGAGGAAACAAAAAACGTTCGCATGAATCATGGAACGTGCTTGAGAATGAGGACGGCCCTAATGTAAATACCGTCGAACAAGGTCTTCCAAAGTTAACATTAATGATGGAAGGTTCATAGCTCATATCGCTTTCTAATGTTGAAGAGGCAACTGGCATAAAATTTTGCACCATCTTAATATCTTATATTTGAAACGGCAACTTGGGCTTTGGACGACAACAATTGGGATCAAAGAGAGAGTGAATCTCTTTTTTGGAATCTGTAACAGGTAAAACAGGTTAAATCCATGGTTCAAAAACGCGAATCAGTTATTGGAGGGGTTTTTAAATTTTGGGTTGGGTCGGTTTTGAAAAATTCTAACCCGTTTTGTGAATTAATAAGCCCAATACTGAAAAATTTTGGGCTAACTTCGGGTAGGGCTGGGTGGAGCCCGCCCAAGTTGCACCCATGATTAACATAACCTAGTTGGAAAATGGTTGAACATGACGAAGGAGAGGATTCCTTTTGTATGATCAAAATCTTCACTGCAGAATAAAAAAGGACGCTACGATTTACAAGTGCTACTTCATACAATAACAACTAATTACACAAGTTTCATGGGTGATGTGCAAGTCACTAAAACAGAGCTCAAATTGACAAGGAATGAGCATCGAATATGCAAATTGAATGTACAAGATTTAGAAACTGAATAAAAGCAGATAGTTCTGGGCACATCACTATCGGTACGTGTTTCTATCAACTCAACTCATAGTTTGCCTTAAATCTTCTGAAATTCCTGCTATTAGAAACAATCCATTGAAAACATTAACTTAAAGCTTAATCACACAACCACATTCACTCAACAAACAAAACCACTAAAAGTTGGAGCCCCAATACCATTTCCTATAGTTTCCAATGGTAGGTTGAGGGTTCAAGTCCGCATAGGCTATGCTATCATATGAACTTATTTTTTCTAACTCAAAATTCTTGTTTGTATAGACTAGCTAAAATTAGTTCTACGCAACAGAACCCTCCTTTTCTCCAGGTTTCAAGACTGGTAGTGAAAAGATAAAGATAAGTCACATAACAAAGTAATTGAAATCGAAAGGAGCTTCGAAAATGAGTGACTATTAGGTCTTAGGGTGTGGTACTTGTGTTTGATCAGAGAAAAATTGGATTCTCTAAACAGAACACATAGTTTCAAACTATTAGGGGGTGTTACCATGGAATTCCTGATTTCAACAAATGAGCCATTAAAATTTCAAAAATTAGGCACTCGTTGACAGAACTTGTATAACTTAATATGCAAACAAAATTGCCGCAAAACATAAACATCAATTGTTCAAATGATGCAATAATAAAATAATCCATGTATCCCAAAGAGAATGAGGACACCCTTTGATACCCCAAAAAGAAAGAAATCCATGTATCAACAGGAGAATAAATCAGACAGGAATCGCCAAACCCTTCTTTGCCATGCTGTCGAGGACGTCGTTGAGAGCTTGACATAGGCCGACAATCTACAAAAACCAGAAACGATTGAAAACAATGACTGTTAAAATACTCAGCTAACAATTTTGTTGGAAGCACTTAATACTGCACATCCAAAACTCCTGGCCTCTCTCTATCTTTTGGGGAAAAAAATTTATATTATTGTGCTCATGGTATAATTCAGCAAATTTGCAATAATGTGCACTACAGAATGAAGTGACAGACATGCATAGATTCTTTTCTGATCCTTTAATATAGTACTTCATATAGCTCTTGTTAAGATAAACTTACTCCACAACAATTACTCACCTGTTGATCCCACTGTTGCAGCTCTTCGGTGTCATCTTCAAAATGTATGACAGCTTCCACCTGATACATGAAATTTTTTACACAAATGTCATGCATAATGTTAATTGCATGTTTCATGTCTCAGCTTGTACTCGACATTACAGACTCAATCGAAGGGCACCCTAAATATAACATTATTCCTCTCATAAAGAAAAATACATCGAATTAGATGCAAAAATCAGAACTAAAATAGAAATTGTGACGGATAAATCTACAGATTGTAATAGATTAAGGCTGCCTACAAATAAATATTAAATGAAGCCATTTGATACATTAAAATTCTTTATTCCCAATATATTAAACAATCCTATAAGTATAATTTTTTAATTAAAACATATTATAATGTATATCTAACAACTACATGGATAAGAAAGTGAAAGTGAAAACCTAGACTCACAGTTCACCACAAATTGATATATATATATATTCTTCATAATTGATGGTACAAAACTTTTTTCCCCCTAAATATGGTTATATTAAACAAAAATAAAGATAATGAACAAGGAAATATAGTAGGGGAAAATCCCTAGAAGGTACAAGATTTTGCCATCACAATGTGGATATCACACCTGATCAATAGATCCCCTCATCCTATCTTCATAGATCATTCTTGATGCTATCTTCTCAGCCTGCAAAGAACATTCAGCCTGATGTTTTAAGAGCTTTAAGGACCATAAGAACTTATATATTATGCTCAAAGTATGTTATGCAGAAAATTTAGTTACTATCCAATAAACAGAACATCCAAAATGGGGAAAGAGAAATCAGTGCTTAAAAAAGTAGGGACTTCAATCAATATTGTTTTTTTTGTCCCCCTCAAATAAAAAGTCCTTCAATTGAGTTCAAGAGCTCAAACACAAATGGAGCAACATTGAATAGCATGAACTGGTTGCACACCACAATTTCAGCAAAAACAGAAAAGCTTCAAACTAAAGTAGTGTTGTTTGTGCTTGTGTGTGGGGGTGCACACGTCAAGGAGCAAGCGATATAGCTAGATATCTGAAGAAACTAAAACCGGATGACATATTAGATGCATCCTTTTTCATATCTATGTGCAACTAAACTTATCAAAAAAAAAATATCTATGTGCAACTAAATTTTCAATACTATTAAAGCACATATTACTGCCAGCTGTTTAGCTTCAAATCTCCTGCCAACCCAAACTGAAGTGCAGAATTCATGTCCAATTGGTATATCAGCGCGTTTATATTTTTTAATGATGATGCTGGTGTTCATCACAAATTCAAAAATTATATTACATAACACACAAGGAATACTAAAATAAAACCCCATGACCCCTTTATTTTGAGTCTCTGTCCCTCCAGAACAGCCACGTTAACTGTACTGTAATTTCTTACTGCTCAACCAGATTGTCGAGGCCTCCATCTCTGCGGTAGAGTTATATTCGTAGAAAGACAAGAATTCTTATGAATTCCAACCTACACTGACCACATTTTGAAAAGATTTTGCCTAAGTTTGACAAATAAAGGTTGAGCACGGGTAGGCCTACCCAAGATACACTCCAAAATCCATCAAGGTTGATAATCTCTCATTTTATATCAAAGGAGTACTACTCCAACCATCTCCCAAATGTGTTTCTCTAATTTTTTTTTTTATCTTTTTTAGTCTTGTTATACATCCATCTTAATATTCACATTTCGATGACGCTCATTTTCTAAATATGCTTAGCGGCCGGAGCTTCTTTAAAGTATGACTAAACTAGAGTTTACCTTTTAATTTTAAGGATGTATCAATAGCACAATATGCTAGAAGCACTAAAACATTTAACCTAACCTACTTTAGATCTATTAAACATAATTTTCAATTTCTCCATCTCTGTAGATAACGAAGTCTGTGTAATAAAAATGTTCAAATTTTGGTATCTCTTAACCCTTGAGGCCTCAATCTCTACTGCATCCCCACTTGTATTTTTAGTTTTGTTGGAATTACAATCCATATATTCAGTTTGTCTTTATTACCTTAAACCCTCTTGATTTTAGAACTTCTCTCCATAACTCTAATTTGGCACTTATTCTGGTCTAGTTTCATCAATTAAAACAAAACCATCAAGAAATATTATACGCCATGGAACCTCAAGATGAGTGTATTCTGTTCATTCACATAACTGACAAGGCAAAAAGATACGGACCTATGTTGATCTTTGATGCAAGCATTACAGTAATTGGAAATTCACTTGTTTCTCCAACATTTCCACTAATTATGGTCATAGTTACATTGTGCACGCCCTTTATCATGTCTGTATTTCTTGTTTGTGACATTATTTTCTAAAATTCCCCATATTGTAACTCTACAGACCCTAACACAGGCTTTCAAATCTATAAAAGCCATCTGAAGATCTTTATACTTCTCTCTCTATCTTTCTTTAGTCTCCCCAATAAGTAAATAGCTTCCATTGTCGATTTGCACCATCATTATAGCATACAATGTCAAGTTGGACCAACCTGAAATATGCCCACTTGTGAAAGGCAAGGCATGATTCAGGCCTCAATTAGGGACCACAAGTAGAGCTCCAACTATCTTATTCATGGATAAAGATGTATAAAACAAGTTGTGGGTTTCACTATGAACAAAATACGGTTATCTACTTATGTAATAATGAAGTCGCGGTAAACTAACGATAATCATTTTTAAGAAATTTGTCCATGATGACCAAATATAGGAGAAAATATCAAATCAGAAAAAATGCATACTAAAATTTCTAACAAACCAATAACACAAGTGCTCGGGGATTCTCAAATAGATCTTTGGGTAGGACTGTACCTTGTGAGGAGCAATGCCAAGCAACGTGCCTAACTCATCAAAGCTATTACAGGAAAAAAGAAAAGGTACAAATTAAAAAGCATATATGTTAGTATAAAACTATGAAGCACTGACACGGCAAACCATGGGGCCGTACCGGACACGTGTCCGACACGCTGTGAACGTGTCCAACACTTTTCTCTCCTCTGTTTCAGATCGGACACGCCGTGGGACACTGCGACACGATGGAGGATACGTCGGTGGACATGGCTACGCTGTTCGGACCTGGGAGTATTTTTGGACAGAAGATATAGATACGATATAAATTAATATATGTTTGTGATATATATGGGTGTGTATATCTGTGCAAGTTTCTATTTAAACAGGGCTGTGTATAAATGTGTGTATCGATTGAAAGAGGCGCCTAAAGCTGAAATAAGAATCTTATTCTCTAATTGGTATCAATTGACCAATGAGTGAGGAACGAATCTTATCTCTTGTACACTTTGTTTGGCTATAAGAATAGGGCTTAGTGACTTTTGTCTCTTTTACCTTTGTTGGTTACAAGCATAAACCTGGTTGGCTTTTGGATATAAAGATGCTGCTTTGTATTTCAATGAAATCCTTTACTTTGTTTGGAAAGAAATTTAAAATGTGGTGGGTTGAATTTAAATGTATTATATTTATGACAAAAATTAATTTTACATATATAATAATAAATTATATTATTATTTTATTGACTTATCCTTGCCGTGTCCACGTCGTATTGTACCCGTGTCCCGTGTCTGTGTCAGTGCTTCATAGGTAAAAAACTAGAGAAGAAAAAAAAAAAAACTGTGAAAGGCAACACATCAGTTATCCAACCTTATATTTGTGTAAAGTTTGCTAGCACTCAGCAGATTATGCTCAATCATAGCACGATCCAGCACAGTAAAATTATCTGGTAAAAGCGCTTTCTGTCAAAAATATAAAAAGTTATAAATCATAAGTAAGTGCTGCACGACAAATGAAAACATAGTTTTCCTCTTTAAGAATAAAATTAGTTACCTGATGTGCTTTTAGTTCTTCAGCAAATGCATCGATTTCTGGTTTCCTCAAAATTCTCTCCAAATACACCTGAACAATTCTGTGTTCAATTAATCTCAAATAACAAATGTAAAAGTCTAAATATTTGAAGAGGATAAATACAACTAAAACTGAAAAAGGAATCTGTATGTCTGTAGCAGAATTTGCGCGTTGGGTGCAAGAGTTTGTATGCATCTATATGCGCATGTTGTATTTGTGTCAATAAATCCATTTCTTTCTTATCTTCTTCATTTCTTACTCTTTTACTTAAAATCCTAGTCTAAATACATATTGTGATGTTGTGGCCTGAGTTTTGTTTTGGCCCGGGTGGTGTTGCAAAGCGTTGTGGGGCCCAAGACCACTAAAGCCATGAGGGTCCAAGGCCAGTGTCCACGGGAAAAATTTTGACCCGTTTTTCGCTTGCGAGTCTTGGACCATGTTTAGAACTCTCTTGTAGCCCGGGCATTTAGGGTTTGGGGTGTGTAATGAGAGAACACTGAAAACAGTAGGAAAAAGAGAGAGTTAGGGTTTGGGAGCTAAACTTGTAATCAACTGATTTTTCCATAGTAAATCTTTCACCAAATCTTCACCATGGATGCAAGTTTTACCGAACCACGTAAAAATCTTTGTATTGCTTGTGTGTGGCGTGTTTATTTTTCTGTCGTGTTTCTTGATTTGTTCTTGGTTCGCGGTGTTCGCCCCGACTCTTAACACATGAAATTGTTTCTTCGAGGTGGAAGTAGCCTAGACCCGAACTAAAAACTAATGATCTTGACATTGTTAACTTTATCAAACTGGCCAACTGTTATTCCAACAACAAACACAACTGTGAGATCATCACCCTCTACTTCAAAGAAGACCCATCAGTATGGTGATGAAATGACATAATACACAGACCAATTGACCATATTCGGTTAGCATCATATGGGATTCAGTTATCTTTCTCAGCCAATGTCAATCATCTATTTTATGTGTGTGTGTGTGAGAGAGGGAGGGAGGGAGGGAGGGAGGGGGAGAGAGAGAGAGTACCTTCTGCAAGATTGGATAAATCTTCAACTTAGAACACCGTTCATCCTGGAACAAAGACTCAATATTTCAGCAAAATGCAAATTCAGTCTTAGACATCAAATCCATTACATTATTATCTCCTAATACTTTTATTGACGATATTTTTCCAGCCTACTCCTAACACGAGCTTCACACCCAATCAAAATCCGCTCACAAGGTATTTAACACCAACTAAAAGTAAAAGAGCCTTCCTTAGTATAATTGATCACAATATATCCCATGAAAGAGCATGCAAGATTTCATTCAGTAAAAGCAAGAGATTCCTATGACTAAACATGTATTTGCCCACCAGAAACAAGCACGTAATTTCCACCAAAACGTAGAAATTTAAATCTTGGAACAAAGATCAAGGATTTTCCTTCCGTAATCGATCAAAATCAAATTATGAAAATACAAGGTGTCGTGAATTGTGAAATACAAATGAATTTGTAAAAGACGTAAAGATCTAGCGCGACAAAGGTTTTCTATTACACTCATTTTTCATTTTAGCTATCATATTATAAGATAAAAAATATGGTAAAAAGTTATAATGCTAATCAGTGTAAAGAATTTAACGGAAACATATAAATTTTGAAACGACATCTCCTTAGATTGCAAATGACATTTAAAAAAATATATAGAAAGGCATCACCAAAAAACTTATTGTTAACGTGATAATCAAAATTTCTCATGATACATTGGTATCATACACACATGCAAGAGGAGAGAGCAGTAACTACAATTAACAGCACCATCAGAGCAAAAACAAGCGAAAAAACTGAAAGGCGTCCACTTCAATTATAAATGTGTCTTTCGAATGAATAGAGAACATTTTAAAGAGGAGTAACACCAAAAATTCAACTCTTAGATTATTCTAACTACTTACTGGAAAAGGAAACACTTAAACACTTAAATATAATTCAAGCGAAAAAACTGAAAGGCGTCCACTTCAATTATAAATGTGTCTTTCGAATGAATAGAGAACATTTTAAAGAGGAGTAACACCAAAAATTCAACTCTTAGATTATTCTAACTACTTACTGGAAAAGGAAACACTTAAATATAATTCAAGGATAGAAACTGATTCTAAAACTCTCTCCTATTCATTAAGCAAAAAAATTTACTTTGTACAAAGTGGCAAGAACACGAGATCGTTGAGGACCTGCAGCAGCCAAAATTGTACAAGTCACAGCGGCAGCCAGAGCTTGCTCTAGTGCTTCCTCATCAATCACTCTGGCAGAACCAAAAAATTAACAAATCAATTAAGTAACATGCAAACGCCTACTAGTAAATTAAAGGCAAGCAATACAGAGTACACAATGTCTGTTGTATCTTATAGATATTTTCATGCTATTAACTAAACAAGAGTATAAGTTGTATAACAACTGTTGTGGAAATTCCGGGGATCAGAAATTTATACTTCTTAAATCAAATCATATACAAACAAATCCCAAAAACACATGCTTCTCTTTCTCTCAGATTCCCAACAAATCAACACAAAATAAATGACACACACATGCATGAATATATATATATAAAGAACATAGATAAATTTTGTATAGAGTTGATACAGTACTAATAGCTATGCTAGTGGTGATCATCAAATCTCTTTCTCTCAGTTTCCCAACATTTTTTTTTACAAGAGATAAATGATATAACCATATAGGAATCAAGCTTCAAATTAGAAGTCTTCTAGCAGTCGCAAACCCAGATTTCAGATCAATTGTGAAAAGAATGCGACTGTGGCTTCCAAAAATCCAATTCATTTCAGATCAATATGGTGGTGGACTCTGCAATTTTTCATTGGTGGTGAAGGATGGGGAGTTGGATTCTTTCTTATACAAACATATATATGATACATAGACGAGATATATTTAGGGTTCATAGATCTATTAGGGGAAATAAAACCAATGGTTCATCTCCGTTTTAATGATTTGCTTTGAAAGAGGTTGTACCATTTTATAGATCTGGTGATGGAGCAACGAGAGAGTAACAGAGTTGTTTTGACGGATTGGTTCGAGATTAGTCGAGATCAAACGGGTGAAATGACTTAGCTGATTCAGTATCTGTAAGTCATTTTTGTAGTAGGGATGTAAAATATTTTACTTTATATGCGACCAAACACTGAAACAAACAGAGTGTAGGACGCAAAGTCTGGAAATTTCAACTCAAGTAAATTATATATATTTAAAGTAGTATATAGAAATGAAAACTATGATGGCACGTGATACATGTCAGTGACGGCCAGTGTTAATGACATTGGACATCTATATAATGGGAAAAGCATTAAAAGCTTGCAATGCAGTATACACCATCAATAGATTTAATATGCTTTTCCACACATAGTAACCCATGACTTGGCAAACCCCAAATACAAATGCAAAAACATGGACACCAACAAATAGATTGGAAAAGACCAACTTGATAAGAAGTTCCAAAAAAAATAAACCAAATCCTTTAGGGTACATACTCATCTCCAATTTGCCGCTTCTCAATTTGGGAAATGTCATAATAACGCAGTGCAGCTTCCAAGAACTTCCTCTTTAGATCTAGAATCCTAGCATAACAAACCTGACAAGTAAAAAGAACAAACAAAATGTCAGCAAAATGCTACAGCTCCCAACCTATAACGGAATAATCCTCACCATCAACCAATATCAACCTTGTACTGTAAATTTAATACTTCATGCTGCTTGTTGCTAACCAAGAACGAAGCTTTATTGATAAAAGCTTCCGCATTCACAGCGTCATCATCCTGCCAAAAAAGCAACAAAAGTACTCATTTCCAAAAGTGTATAGTAGACAGGAATACAGAATGCTTAAGTTAGGCAGCCTAGTGTCACGCCCCGCCTATGGAGGTTGTGCCACGCAGACGACACGCAAACGCTGAGGAGGACGCTGCATGGCAACTGCATGGCGAGTGGAGTTTCTAGAATCTTCCGGAATTGTCTAGAGTTGTGTGGAAGATTCTAGATATGTGTAGAATATTGTAGAAGTATGTGGAAGATTCTAGAGTTCTCCAGAATTGTGTGGAGTAGTATGGAGAGTTCTATAATGTTGCAGATACTAGTAGATAAGTATGGAAGTGTGAAGAATGTGGGAGAAGGTTCTAGAGATCGATCTCCACCGTTGGTTAGAATGCATCCTAGCCATCCATTAGGGATGGGGATGCCTATAAATAGGAGTAGGACTTCATTTTGTAGCCAACGAGTCCTAGAGTGAGTCTTGAGAGCCTTGTAGAGAGCTTGAGTGCTAGCCTTGTACAAAGCATTCTTTGAAGTAATAAAAGTGTTCTTTCCTTGCCAACTCAAGTGCCTTAGTGTGTGTGAGTATGCAAGCCAAGTGAGGAGAAGGCGAGGGCAACTACAACACTAGTAAGCGCACGAGGGAAGTGTGTTGGCTAAGGTGTGCACGGGAGTTAGGCTGACCAAGTACTTGCGAGAGTGGAAGCAACGTCTTGGTGCCGCATGGGAGCAGCTAGAGTGGTGCTGAAACTCTAAGCCCGTGTCACTAGGCTGGCTATATGGGAAAAGATGCCAAACTGTGAACCCCAAATTAAAAATGCTACCAAGAACTACACAACAAATTTAGTTGGACAATATTACCATTCAAATGATTATTTTGCATTCCTATGAGATCATGGACAAAATGATTGATAAAAGGAACAACGAATATCTATCACCTATACATGTATTCATCACCTATCTATATATAGAATCCCTAGCATCTTACATCGTGTGATATTTAGCAGCAAACACCAATGACTTAATATGAGGACAGAATTTGTACCATACAAAAGTTGGCTTCTATTAATTATTAAATTATGGCAATAATTCATAATGAAATTAATATTTACATTATCGCGATAATTTCAAATGAAATTATCCTCAATGAAAAGAAACTTCATATTCTAACACTATTTCTTTTAGCCTAACAAAAGAAGACAACTCTCTTTTCTCAACACATGCACACTGCAGCATACAAAGTGCTGAGCACATATTCCATTTCTCTTTCACAGGCACTTCTTTTTTCCAGCCCTTCAGACATATTCACTCCGAACATCTAAAATCAGGAAGTTGCCACGTCCAAAAGCATGACAACCTTATCGAAATAAATGTATAATAAATTTCATCTTCTCAATCTGATTTAAAGAATGAAGTGTAGAGTACCTCTAGGTATAGGCGAGCAATCTGGACACACTTCGACAACCTGAATGTATCATCAATCACTCTGAGGGAGAAAACACAAACAAAAGGAATCATAAATTCAGAGGGCACATAAGAATATGTTAAAGTGGAACTGGTCCATGAACAAACCAAAAGAAGAAGCTTACTCTCGAACCTCATTCCAGAATCAAGATCAATGCCACTGAGCATTTGAGCTGCTTTTGACCATTGCTGTTCAGACTCATACAACTCAGCAAGTTTCTCTCTTATTACCAACACCTACAACTCATACAGATAGATGGTAATTTTCTCACTCAAAATATCAACCAATCAACAAATATACCAGAAAATGGATTTCCATTCCAAAATCATATCTGTTAACTGCTATACATTACATTGAATTTGCACAAACACACAGAATTTGCAGACGAGAACACACACACGGAAAAATTAAAGTAAAATGTTTATTTATCCAAAAAAAAAAAAAAAATTAATGAAAATGTAAACTGAAAAACAGGATAGCATTACCAAATGGAAATTTGATCTTCTGCAGTAACTAACTTTTTCATAAATTTGTTATAAATATCAACTAGTTTTAAAAACAACAAAGGGTAAAACCCAAAAATATGATAGTACCAATGAGAGCACACAAATGACAAAACTAGAAAGCCAAATAAGACTAAACCCTAAACACTACTCATATCACAGAACAATTAAACAAACAAACCAACAGAAAAGGATATTCCCTGAAAACCAATAGAAGAATAATTTCAAAAGTTTTTACTTTATCATGTGCCCTAACAGCTTCTCTCCCCCAGAGAATCTTTTGCAATATAAACATTCCATATACAAAAAAGTAATAAAATTATAAAAAGGAAAAGAAAAGGTGACCAAACATACTTAAGTTTTAAATAATTGACCGGTTCAATGTCAAAATAACAACTGAATTTCCAGTGCAGTAACCTTCAAGAAAAATTATAATGTCATTATATAGCAGATTAGACCATATGTGAACTTGTGTTGTCTACTGGCAGACATGTTGTGACTTGTGAAAGCAGAATGTGCCCCATTGATATTGTCCTTGCCTATAACTACAGAACCATAGGAGTAAATGCATCTCAGTCTATACCTAAGCATCTAGTATTGTGACGTAAGTGGAAGCGATAAATTTGTTTACAAGGAACAGTTTACTTTGAATCCACAAAGTAGGTGTTTTGAATTCACAAAACGAAAGATAAATTCATAAAGAATTCTAAAATATTATTGATAAAAGGTTGAATGAATCTGCTTTCTCCATTACATATATTTTATAATGAAAGAAAACCTAATATTAGAAGAAAACTAAAAACACAAGGAAACTAATCCTAGAAATAAGTTTTAAAATAAATTCTCTCTAAAAATTCTGTAAAAATAGAGAAAGAAACCTAATCAAATAAAACTACTAAATATAAAATCTTAGAGCATTTTGACTTCGTTAAGGCCTTGAAATAATCGGCAGGCCTCCTGTAACACACAATAAAACGCGATTTCGGAGCCCTAAACGAAGGTTTTCAGCCGAAAACCAGCATGGCCCACAAGCAAAGCTAGTGGGTTTTTCTCAATGCGTTGTTTCCACCCAAAAAACACTATTGGTTTGTCGAAAACGGACTTGTCAATCTGCTTGTCGAACTATGCAGGATTCTGTCCTACATCATATTGGGTCTGGAGCATTGGTATTAAGTGCCCAAGAATCTTTACAAGTAACAAATACAGTGAGGTAGGCATTGGCAATCTACAAGCGACGCCCATGGAATAATTCTGCCAAGCAGGGCAATGACTAGAACAACAAACCAGCGTAAACTCAACCCTGACACAAATAATCCCATTAATCCTGATTACCACAAGAAGAGAACCAGTGCCAAATAAGGCGCATTTCCTTTTTTCCTTCTTTTTCTTTTATAGGAAAAGCACACACTCACTCCCTTTGTCCTTCTTGTGACTTGAACAAATGCATTTACAGCTTTCAGGAATCCGTCTCCATCAAACCTTCTCATTGGAAGGTGGAGAAGATATCACTCAAGCATTACCTTGATGGTACGTAAATCATTTCATTCTCAAATAAAACTTGCCAACATGCCATGGAATTAATAACAATGCATGTCCCCAATAAACTCAAATAAATATGTACAAATAAACCAAATGAAAACAAGATGAAAAGAAGCTTGGATTTTAGAATGGTAATAACCTAATTAAGCAACATATACAATAGCCTTACACAAATAACACAATAATTAGAATCATGATTATCACAATAGATAAGAGAGTTTGGAACCAGCATGTGGAAAAGAAATAGGAGACAGATCGGAAAAACTATATAAGAAACATAGGGATGTGGTTTGAAATGAAATAAAGACCTTTAAGGAAATTTATGATAAAGCTTGAAAGAAAAAATAAATAATAAGAAGAGCTAAAAAAATGCCCTGTAAATCATCAAATTGCAGAAATTGTGATGTCTTTGGTTTCTCAAAGAATAATTGAATAAAAATAGGTTAAATTTTCCAATTAATGATTCTTGTGTTGTTTTGAATCCATGCCAACAAACGCCTTCAGTCAATTAAGTGTAATTCGGCCTAATACAACCACTTGGTTTGAAAAAGGTATTTTGTTTCATTATTGGTGGCAACTAGAGCAACATATAACCGTGGAATCCAAAAAAAATCCTCATCTAATCTTTCTCTGAGCTTTCTAGGGACCAAATGGAGGGTCATACAAAATTTTGAAAAAAATCCTATTGGACAACCCTTTTATCATAATAGATTGAATGCGTGGGACACATTAAAAACTCCCCATATATATATATATACCATACTCTCAAACCCACAAAACCAGAAGACGAGTATTTTGCAGCATTCGTGCACGTTCTCATCATCTTTGGTAAAATCAAGCTGCAGGATTCTTGGATGTGACCAAGCAAGGCTCGGGAGAATCTATTTCTTCCCTTTTCATTTCTCAAAAACGGAATTACAAATAGGCCAATTCAGCAGCTTCTTGTTCCATAATTGGTACAACACGCAGTAGTAGGGAGACAATCAAATCACCCGATCCTATTAAATTCTGTATGAGATTTTCTACAAGTTTGGCCAATCGCTTTATATACACTCTATAAACTATCAATGCATACATAGTCTATAACATAAATTCTTGAAACGAACCTGTTCTTCGAACGATACGACCCGAGGCTGAATCTGGTTAAGGGTATAATGGGCAATCTCCTTTTGGGTCTCCGGCTCCAACCTACCCAATTCCTGGGCGAATGTCTGCAAAAGCTGTCGCGACACCACCAATGGCACGTCGTCCGACAACACTGTGATTCAAATAAAATATCAACAACTTTAACTCACTGTAACCATTCCAAATTCAAAAAATAAAATAAAAGAAAAAAGAAAGAGCAAGATTTATATGAAGTAACTGTGATCAATGAACTTCTTCGCTTGTGCGATGTCGTTGGATGCGATGACGGAGGAGAGAATGAGTTTGTACTGTTCGATCTTTTGCCTCTGATCAGTGATCGCAGAGGCGCTCGCGAAGGCACTATCCATGGCGAGAAGGCGTTCGCACTTCGCAGATAGGAATTAGGGTTTAACTTTGTGTCGAATTTGTGAAACTGTATTTTGAGAGAGGAGCAGAACGGAGGTTTCAAAAAAAAAATTCTACTCTGTAAAAGCCCTCTCTCCTCCTCTCCGTCTCGCACTTTAATATAGGGCATGGAATAGTCTGTGCACTTGTTTCGGTGCTCTCCCACAAGAGAGGATCCGCCACGTCACAAATTAGTGACCGTGGCTTTTTACCATATTATCCTATATTTTTGCAAAATTGTCAAAACAATCCTTTTTTTAAAAAAAAAAATTTCCTTAAAAAAAATGCTTAGTAAAACGACCAAATTAGCGGGAGGTGGAAAGGGCGGATAAGATGAAATAAACTCCCTACCTCCATTTTGGTCTAGATGATGCAAGAGGGAGGAGAAAATAAGATGGATCAATCATTTTTTTCTTTTTCTTTTTTACTATTTTTCATTATCCATCATCCTTCATCTTTCCTAAATTTTCATTCCTCCAAATATCGATGGAAGATAATGTTTTTTTTCAAAAAATTATTTTAAAAAAATTACAAAACTATCATTATAATTAAGTGTCTCTTTTCTATTATGTCATAGCAAACAAAATAAGGTATTATCTCATTCTCTTCTCTTCTATCCAACCAAACAAAAATAATAAATAACACAATCATTATAATTAAGTGTCTCATTTACCCCTACTTATCTCCCTTTCTTCTAATTTTCTTCTTTCTTACCAAACAGAGCATAGATACTACCAAAAGTCAAGTAAACAATACGTAAGAATACGAACCTTTTGAGATGCCTGCTAATTTGTTGCAAAGGGTACCTTTTTATCGATTTACAAAGTGAACGTCAACAATATATGGCACATTAGTACCATTTCTATTAACAAGTGTTGCGATGACAATTAGTATTTGCTATTTTGTATTTATGTCGTGCCATAATATGAATATTTTATATATGAATTATCAACACAAACACTATACTTATTGTCGCATTGCAATTTTTCCTCGTGTCAAAGCCCACTCCAGCTTGTCCTCCTAAGGTTGGAGGTCAGTTTTCGCGCCCAAAGAGAAATGGACTTTATTTGCGACGGGTGGCTACGGCCTTGAAAAATTTGAGATGTGAGGTGTGAATATAAAACTAAATCGAATATTTTATGAAGTGACCACCTAACATTGAGTTTTGATGTGTTAAGTCACCAAAGATGAGGAATTGATGGATTTGGGGGCCTTAAAATGACTTCTAATTGGTCTATTTCACCAAATGTGGGATTCGAGGGTTTATTTACGCTTTAGGAAGGGTTAGGCACCCAAAGACAGTTACCAATTATTTGTGTTAAATTACGTTTCCATTTTATGATTGCATTATAATGATTTATGATTTGCATGCTTGAAGATTAATTTACATGGTATGGCAATGAAGATGAAGGTGGTATGAAGAAATGATGAAAATATAGCGGAAGATGGTCCCAATATGAGACATAAATTCTGTAATTTGCAATTTTTTATGTCAAAATAAGTCCTAGTCGAGTTGTAATTTTAAGTTACCATATCAGGATCGATATCGACTGCAAAATTGGAAGGTTGTTCAAAGATATTATACTAAGATCATTTAGAAAGGAAAAAACAATACTTTAGGAAGAAATCTAAAAAGGTTAGGACACGTTTCATACTTGCTATTTTTTCAGATCTTACCAAAACAGTGTTTTTAAACCTTCAGGCCTTAGGATTCAAGTCTGGCATACTTGAACCGGTTCAAGCTTCTTGGAACCAGTTTAAGCCTTTCAAAATTGGCTTCAAAATAAATTTGCCATTCTTGAATCGGTTCAGCCTTTTTTAAACCGGTTCAAGGGTCTTCTACAGGATTTGGAAACTTTGAATCATATTCTGATTTCTTTCCTAGTTGGTTTATAATTATACCAAAAGTCCTATACATGATTCTTATATTTTCTAAAGGATTAGGTCTTTGAAAATTCTATATAAACCCTGATAGTTATCTGGGTTTATTAACAGCTTTTGCACTACAACTTTATTATTCATAAAAACCTTAGGAAGATTATTTTTACAGAAAATTCAAGAGATTTCTCTCACAGTCTTTCTAAAACACACATATAAACACATAGTGAGTTTAGAGTATTGTTCAAATTCTGATTGTGATCAAAGTCTTGCATCTACAACGATCAGAGAAAAGCAGATCTACTTCTACATCGAATTCAGATATTGAAGAACAGAAGTAAAAGCGATCACACTTTGCAAATGGTCAAAGTATTCACAGAGTGTTGTTTGATCTACCTGCTACAAATCTACAAAGATCAAGCATAAGCCCGTGGTCAAGTTATTGTTGGACGGGACGTCACAATGCCAGAGGATTGGCAGCTATTGGTATTTGGTAGAACGATAGGGTGTAAGCCAGAGTCAAAGTTCAATGTACTTTGTTTTTTACATAGTGGTTCAGTTTACTTTGGAGTGCACAGTCCACGAGGTTTTTCCGCGCAAATAGTTGATCTATTTTATCAACTGGGGTTTCCTCGCTAAAAATTCAAGTGTCATCTCTAACTCTTTACTTTGCTTTATTTTATCTTGCATAAGATTAATTATTTAATTGCTAAAATAGGTAGAGTTAGAAAGACACAAATCTGTTTCTAAAAATACAAAAATTTCTAAATATTCCGCTGCGTACAACTCGCAAATTGGTATTAGAGCCAATCTCTACACATTGAGTTTATCCTTTTGGAAAAGTTTTGATTGATTTCAAAAATTTTGTTTTCATCATGTCTTATGCGTTGAAAGAAGGAGGTTCTAATTAACGTAGTCCTTATCAAAGATGAGAGCTTATTTGCAAAATTCAGGAGGTAAAACTTGGGCTATTGTTGAATCTGGTTATACACCACCTACACAATATAAAACTGTGGATGGTAAAGTTGAAAAAGTTTTAAAAGACACCTTTTCTTTTACTGTTGTTGAAACTGAGTATAATGATGCTAATGAAAAAGCTTTATATGCAATTATTAATTCCGTTGTTCCATCTGAATATGCTAGAATTTCTAATTGTAAAACTGCTAAATATGCTTGGGATATTTGTAAGTTACTCATGAAAGCAAAAGTGAAGTTGTCCAAAATTCAGATGTTTTCTCATAACTTTGGGAATATCATGATGAAAGAAGATGAATCATTTTCTGATTTTTATTCTGGTTTTCTTGAAATTATTTCTGAACTACGTTACTAAAGCAAAAGAGTCAGTGATAAGAAAATCTGTGAGAAAATCTTAAAGTCTTTACCAAAATGATTTCAAATAAAGGTAGAAATTATCATTGAACATTGAGATTGTCAACATCTAAAGTTGATGGAAGTTGTAGGTTCATTGAAAAATTTTGAGATGCAAAATTTTGATTTAAATCATAATGAGAAGAATCTTACTTTAAAATCAACATAGGTTGAGAATTCTGTCGATGGCAACTCTAATGATGATTTTGTTTTTCTGTCAAGGCAATTCAATCAGATATTGCAAAGACAACAGATGAGAAGGAATGACAATATGGCCAATTCTAAAAAATTTAATAAGTCGTCGAAATTTAGATTTAATGAAAAGAAAGTAAAAGAATCAAAAGAAACTGAATTCACTTGCTGGAATTATGGTGACAAAGGTCACATATCCAATATATGTCATAGTCCTAAGAAAGATCAAAAGTGTAGGAATAAAGGAAAAACAATGAAAGTTTTTATTTCTGAAAATTCTGCTTCTAGTGATAATGACTCTCCTTATGATGTAACTAATGATTTTTCTTATATCGCTTTTCTTGAAAAAGGTCTTCATATTGTTACTTTATCTGACTTTAATATTTTAGATAATGAAGACAATGAAGTTTGAGATGAACAGGTGCAAGAGGATGAAAAGAATGACGAAATATTGAAGACGATGGTCAGAGAAACCATTGAAATCAAATAGGCTATCAATAAGTTAGCAAATGAGCTTATCCAAGCAAAAGGGGAGAATAAAAATCTAAGAAAACAGATTAATGAAGGAAAAAGAAAAAGTAATTATATCATCATTGAGCTTAACAGGAAGATCATCATTCTTGAAGATAAGGTAAGTAGTACTAACTCTTTGAATGAATGTCTTACTCTGAAAATTTATTATCTTGAAATAGAATTGAAATCTACACACGATAAACTGAAAGGGTTTACAATGGGTCAAGATAGCTTGAATAAGTTAGTCAACATGTGTAAGGATATGAATGATAAAACTGGGTTAGAATTTGTTAAAGGCTCGTCTAATAGTCAAGGTAAAACAATTTTTGTTAAACCTATTGATTATCGTATGCCTAATCCATGCATTGTATTCTGATATGTCTTATGTGCCTAACTGTTGCATTGCACTTTTGTGGTAAGAATGGACTTAAGTATCCTCATGTTTTCACAGGAAAAAAAAAGATTTTTTTAAAATTCATTCTCATGATGTTCATGCTAAGAAAAATGTGTTTTTTAAAAAGAAAAAGAATTTTGTGCCACATAAAATTTCTAAAACTGAAAATTTGCCTATGAATGAGGTAAAATATGAAAAAGAATTTCAGGAAGTGAGAGTGAAAACTGTGTGGATCAAAAAGACTGATTTGATCAATTATGTACCTGTTGAGTCCATGGAACTAGTTTCCAAAAGGACTTTACCTTCAAACTATAGGTGGCAATATGTGTTTGCGTGTTATAATCGTGTCGCGTCGAACTAGGGGTATAACACTAAACAGGTCAACCCGAACACGACACGATTAATAATCATGTCACATATCCTAAATCCGAATATGACATGTTTATTAAACGAATAACATGACACGACACGTGTAACTTGTTTAATAAACGAGTCGTGTTAGACACACCAAACACAACATATTTAACGACCTGTTTAACATATTTACCCGCTTAACCTGTTAAAGGTGTTTACCCGCTTAACTTGTTTAAAATGACCAAAGATTAAAATACTAGCAAACATTGCTAGAAATCTTGTACTATAGTCCAAAAGAGAGATTAGAAGCCAAAGATAAAGATTAAGTCACAAGTCATAAGTTACAGACCGAAATAAAGATAAGTCATAAGTTACAGACCGAAATTAAGATAAGTCATAAGTTATTACAGACCGAAAT